CATGTTTAATGTAAATTTCAGTTCCATAATTATTATAACTGTAATATTTGTTTCTTGAGAATTGTACTGATCATAATCGGCAAAAGTAGTAATAATTTATCGTATCATTAATATTATACATTTAAAAGGTATTTTATTTATTAGGCCCTACCCACCGCTGTAGGCACATCTGAATTGGAACTTAGTATAATATCTGAGGAAAATTAATAAAAAAACATATTCATTTTTCTTGGAAGAACTTCAAATAGTATTTTTCCTTCCTTTTTTTCTTCCAAATTAGAAATTTCAACTCTGCTCTTACAAACAAATATCGTCTGATGTCGTCAATTGTAACGATTAACGGGAAAAACAGGTTACAAAAAAAAACGCTTACCTTGAAGTACACTACCTATTTTGTATACTCGTAAAACTCCATCTTATTGCCGTTACGAAATGGTGGTGCAGCAAACTGCCATAAGGAAATAATTTTTTATTTTGACTATCCTTAGTAAAGTTATAATGGTAGGAGGAAAAATTAGACAATCATTTTTAAACAACTCTAACTCCTTTTCAACTTTCATTATCATTGAAGGAACATAAAATATACTGAGATAGTTTTGTTCGATCTGTTTGTAGAACCGATGAATCCGAACTGGATGGCAATGTTGATTTACGCGTACATTAAAGTACGCCAAGCTTTAACTACAAAATAGGTCAAGCACTAGTTATAATGAAATCTAACAGTTTTATTGTTAGTCAATATGGACTAAAGGTAAGTATATTAAAGATAATTCATTATACACTGAACATTTCTACAAAACTGTTTGAAGCTTCTGGAAGAACAGCTATTAATTGCGCAAAATTCTTAATCCCAGGATGTTTTTCAGAAATAAGATACACGAATACAATAATACTATTAGAGTTCCTTTACTTCAACTCAATTAGCATTCAGCATGATTCATTAAAAAAGAAATACAATATCGTACACGTTACACTGGGATACACGAATGAGTAACTTGCTAACTTGAAGTGCTAATGAATTAAATTAAACAAAACGTAAATCATGTTGATACGTAATCAATACTTATTACAGAACAATCGAAATATCTTCAAAAGAAAAAAATTGAAGTAAATTATTCATATAGAAAAACAAAAGTCAACTGCTTATAAATCAAGATAATAATTAAAGTCTGCAAACAGCTTACCATAGATGTTATCAATAATTCAGCAGTGATCTACGGTAAACTATTTGCAGACTTTAGCATTAAATTTAGAAAAATAACGAGGATAATTCGTTCACAATAAATGAAAAAAAAAGACTACAAATTTTCTGCAATACCAATGAAGCGCTGACGACGAGAAAATGAAATCAATATCAACAAACTAAAACTACAATTTCATTATTCCATTTAACTCTTATAGCGAAGAGTACTATCAAAAAATATGTCGTGCAATCTTTTTTGTTTAAACTAAGACATCAAATAGGGAAAGGCTAAAAAATTTAATGGGATCAACAAAAAAAATTGAATAGAATATGATCATGAACTTATTACTGTATAATAAAAAATGGAAGATAAGCAAGATATGAATATAAACTTATTACTGGACAGATGAATGATAAAAGTAAGATAGTGAAAACCTAATAAAATTTTGGTAAAGAAGGGATAAAATTGTAACAAAATATAGATAATAATATTTACGAAGTATGCTACCGATGTGTGTTCTCCGGTATAAGATGTCTGATGGAATCATCCCTTCGTACTGGAGCAAACAATTCGTCATCGCTGTCCTCAGAACCAATATGATTAGGAACAAGCTGTTTCGCTGACAGAATATCGTAACGTCGAATACGCATTTCGTTATTCCTAACTCTAAATGTATAAAGAAGATAAGTACCAAGAAATACACACTTCTAATTTATTATTTACTCTTCTTCAACTTCTAACAGCACTCTGTCATCAATCCAGAAAATATACTTTATTTGTAAGTTGCAACACAATTACCTTAGAATTTTGATGACAATCCAAACTCCAATAATCGCCACAAGAAGACCTATCACCAATAACGATCTGCAATAAATCAACTGTTGACAATATCATCTAGTCAATGAACTTATCATTTGATTTTTCTTTTACAGTTCTGATTATCTATATACCGAAAAAGTGAAATATGCAATGCTCTGGTCTACCATCATCATTATCATTTGCTGCTGAGTAATTTTCATATGCAAATAATTGATCATAAATGCATCAGGTTGATTGGAATATTCCATAATCATCACAGCATTTCCGTTACTACCACTGACTTCACCAATAATGGTGATGTTCAGTTATTTGCGCTTAATAATGATCAATATACTATACCTGTATATGGCGTTACTATCCATATCAAAAACTCCTTGCTTGTGTAATATTGTCAGGGTGGATGTACTCATTACGGTATGCGTTATATTTACTGTAGAGATATACATCTCACGAATAAAACATAGACCTAGGCCCCATAAGATATATACCTATACTGTAAATATAACGCGTTACGCCACATCATGTCTCATCACCTACGACCAAACAAACCCACTCCATCTTCTCAATTTACAACAAGCAGTTTCGTTTTTCGATGATAATTTGATGCCATTAAGGGTTGCCTGATTTGTTTACCAAGATGTTTTAAGGATAATTTAATAGGAATGCTGATTATTAATTGATTAATGAGATGTTTGTAGGGATGAGAGAGAAAGAGAAGGACGAACAAAATGGGGTTGAGGACCAGACTGATCGAGTAACTAAAGATACATCGAAAAGTAAGGATTGGGCTGCGGCTGACCTTGAAAAGGTTTGCTTTTATCTCATATAGTGATAGGAAATCATTAAATTATGAAAACACTAGTAGTAATTAACATTCTGCAGGTCACCGATTTCAATGAAGATAGCGATATCGGTCGAGAAGTATCAAATGAGAAACTTGACAGCTTGATCAGCGGACCTAGTGGACCATTAAGGGAAAGCGGGAAAGTTGTCAACGTGAGAAAAGAGGACGTACTACTTATCGTAAGTTATAACACTAATAAATCTATCTTACTGTTTGTACAAAGGACTAAAATGATGCTTTAATTTATTGCTAGCATTAGTAAGTTGACACATCTGAATCATTGTAACTAATACATGGTTTAACAGTTCGTTTTTGGGAACTTTACTTATATTGTATACAAAAAGAAAGAATTTTGCATTGTCTTGAATTACGCAGCACAACGTGATGAATCCCATTTCGCGTCATTCTTTATCGAATGCTTGTATCATCCATCTCTAGCAGTTAAATCACATACATTTAAAAAAAAAAAATGATATGTTATAGAAATTACAAAGATTGTCACGGCTTCAACAGTTAGCTTTATAATTTTATTTTAAATTTTTGTTTCATTTGAAAACTCCAACACGGTAAGATCCAGTAATCTTTTAGATGGATGAATTGGAATTGCCAAGAATTCGAGCGGAGAAAAAGCTGATTGAGCATAATGGCGACATTATAGCAGCGACAAAGGATCTCCTTGGCTTTTGAAGTTGCCGAAAACTTAAGTAGTGGTGATGTCAACTATAAAATAGCTTATTCTTATTCCTCATTTCGACTAGAATTGATTAGGCTTCTGAAACCCATTTTATTCCTCTGACATTTTGAAATGAATCCGTATATAAATCTTGCAATACATTGCAACTTTCGAGTAATAACAATGCCAACCATAAAAAGAAACGGCGCACTTTTATGGAGGAAAAGACATACTCTAAAGCATCCAGCTTATTTGCCCCAACAAACTGTAAAGCTTACGAAAACGTTTCAAGTTTGATAATGTTAACATCTCCCCAGAATTTACCTTCTCCCAAAAATTCTTGACAAGATAATAAAACTTATTTCAAAAAGATACATTTCATATTTATTCGATCTACCTTATATTCAGCTTTATATTTTGAAATGAACCTGCATACGAATTTTACAATGCACTACAACTTATGAGCAGTGAACTATTAGTCCTCCTGCAACATATGTTTATTGGAGTGAATTTATAAGATGAGATACTAATGTAATTTATCATACGTACATAATACAGTAATGAGATATAAATAGATTATGTATACGAATCGGCACAGAATCATAGTTCTTGAACTTTTATGAATCATCATATATGAGTTAGTTCTTCAACTATGAGTAATGGAAAAATCCCGAAAGTTCACATCAAGGGAGGATCATCGAAAGGGGCTAAATCAGGATCCCGATTGAAGGGCATATACTGGTCGTGGTCTAATCGAACCACTCCAACGCCACCACCAAGTCGTCGATATGTCATACATCCCGTTTGACGCCATTGATTCGTTTCTCGATCATAAACTTCTACGGTCTTCAAATACGTGGTACCATCAAAACCGCCCACTGCATACAGCTGATCGTTTACTACTGCTAAGCCCACCTAAATTTATGTTAGTCAAAGGAATTGCTACCGAAACATAAAAAATGGACGAGTGTTTCTATGTGATTAAAAGAACAATTATCAGCAGTTTTTACAACTGCCTACAGCAAACTGGTTATTTTTCAGGCATGACAGCAAAAGGTATGCTTCAAGCTTGTTGCTAATTGCTGTCACATACAAGAGAATAATTATTGGAACACTCACTGGTGAACAGTTACGAACAAATTTTAAGCAGGTTAATTCTACAAAGTGGATGTAATGACACAAAAGTTCTCCACAGATCGCTTTTCAGATGTTGAAAAAAATATCAAGCTAGTATCAAGAACATGGTAATAACAAAGCCTAAATACCAGCTATTTAAAATATAGTTAAGAGGAATACTCCAGATCTGCGATTGTTCATTGCAACAACATTGATCCATTCATTTGTGTTTGGGTTGTACTTCTCTGCTGATGATAGTTCACAAGCATTATCTCGACCGCCTACAGCATACAAATATCCGTCGTGCACAGCAGTTCCCAAGTGTTTCCGTCTCGTATTCATTGATTTTACCATCATCCATTTGTTAATTCTCGAATCATAACTGTAACATTTGATTAATATCAAATGATTTTGAAGTTATTTTTGAACACAGAAATCTGCTCTCCCTCAAGTTTAATGAAAATGGTTGGAAAATAAATGAAAAGTTCAACAGAAGCAGCAACATACCGTTCAACAGTATTTAGTGGACTCTGTCCATCAGAACCACCTACGGCATATAAACAACCATTTAAAACCGATACTGATACACCTAATCTTCGTGTACTCATTGGAGCGACTTCAGCCCATTCATTTCGGTGAGCATCATATCTGCAATAAGATTCTTTGATAATGATATTGTCAAGTACTACTTCTAAAAACATAAAAAAACTGCAGTTTCAACATACTGAATCAAAATAAGTAAGCAACTAATTGTTCACTTCTCATTTCTTATTAAATTTGTAAAAATAAACCTTTCCACGACATTTAAACAGCAAACTCCATCCTGACCACCAATTGCATAAAGCAAACCACCAAGGACGGCCACACCAACTGAAGTTCTGCAAGTGGATGTCGGTGCAATATCACTACTCCACTGATTTGTTGCTGGATCATATCTAAAATGTATGAATGATTTCTCATTATATTTACATATTTATCATATTTACCTACCATCATATTTATAATGAAAACTTCTTGAAGCTTTCGACTTTCTATTGAACTATAAGAAGCGTTCAAATTTCAAGAGTGTTAAGAACACGTCTTCCATTGCAGTTGCATATTAGTAAATGTGTTATAATAGTTATTAATTTACTAACATCATCGATTTCGATACCAAATAAAATCCAATTTTTAGACCACGCTATTATTGAAGCAATACAAAAAGGATAAAAACATATGCATGACCACCTTTCAACAGAATTGAGATAACTCTGTCCATCATGCCCTCCCACAGCGTATAGTAAATTATCAAGTACAGCTACACCAACACCACATCGTCGTTTGCTCATTGGAGCAACACAACGCCATTCGCCGGTCCGACCATCCATCCGTTCCACCGAGGCAATAGCGTCACCGCTACACCAACCGCCTACGGCATACAGAACTTCACCGTAACGAAGTGGCTTCCTACTCCTGAACTACCAATTACGACTTACTGGAATAAAAATGACAAAATTTATTGTATTAGAAAAGAAAATTATGCTTTAGAAGATTCCAAAGATACCTTGTTCTTGGTCCTTGCATGTTTGGCCTTTCCAGAGGCAAGAGAAGATAATTCTTTGCTTCATCAACCAAATCTCGACATTGTGCATCAGTTTTAATTAGTGGATCTTCACTTACCACACTAACCAAGAACTTGGCAGGACAAAGAGGTAGTCGAACATGCTCGAGAACCTTAAAAAAATATAGTTCCGAAAAAGTTTTTTTAACTGCGCTTGGATCTAACAGTACAACAAATACAAGAGATAAAAAAACAATACCTTTGATAAGAACTGACGTCGACTGGGAAGATCATGGCGGATCCATGCCATCGCAGCTCGGAAAACAACTTCTTCTGACCGAACGTTTAATTCTTCGCTCGATATGATGTCAATTAACTGATTTATAGGCAGTGACATGAATTCTTCACTTTTCGCAACATCCTGCAATTCTTTCTTCAGCGAAACTCAAAATTAAAAATTGTACGAGTTTTTGAATGGTCCAGATTTGATATAATGTTACAGGTTAACGTTCCAGTATTAAAAAGGTACTTCTTTAAAGAGAAGACCTGAAAGTTGTGATGAGTGAATTTGTCGGCAATCCTCATCAAATCTCGACAAGCATGAGTGTCGGCGAATGCCCGTATACCTAAACAGTTCGTTGGATCCAACTGCTTTTTCAGAAAATCGCAACAAACCTCCTGCAAACATTCGGTATCAACCTAGACTGTCCATTTAAGTTAGCTACCAGACAAATAAGTAAAGCAAAAATGATTAAAATTCAATAACCTGCACTTCGTTGAGCTGCAACAAGCACGCAGCTGGTAGAATGGACTGAACATTGAAATCAGCAATTGTTATTTCACCCGTGTAGCAAAAATTAATAAGCGCTTGTAACGTGCGAGGCTCGATATCTACCATTTGAATTTCTTCTACAAATTAATACTAACTAAGCTCGCGATAAAGGTAGGGAAGCGTAGGAAAAGCAATTTTTGCTCTTATGACGAAAATAGAACAGACAAGATCTTTCCCAGCGACATTTGAAATAATTATGCAAATTTAAAACAAAATTTGTTTTAGGATTTGCCTGTCAAATTATACATTTACATCTTTCTTTTCAGATATTGATGTGTCCACAGATTTGTTACAGTGAGATGAAAGAGAAGCTAACGCTGCCGGCTTTCAGCCATTTCTGAGGTGAACATAGCACGGAAGTAGCTGGAACACGAAGCAAGCAACAGCCGATGAGCATTGATACGAACGGTTCCAATAACCAAGGTCACGTCAGACAAAGAACCATCTGATCGCATTTCGTTCATTTGTTCAAGTGCCAAACGAGAATGCTTCTGACTTCGGTATACCACTGGAGGACATAATGAAGATGAACTCGAACAGGGCGCCACCCTCTGATGATGATGGTGATGATCCTGAGATGTCGCACCACCTGAGCATACATCCCCAGCAAAGAAGTTCTCATCCAAAAGCATCTATCTATAATTACTAGTAATAAAATTCATATCAGTACGATATGATTATGAAATCATTTAGATAGTGAAGCTCCAAGCAAACCAGGATATTGCTGAAATGTACACAGTAGTCCCTTATGCTTTTTCTTATAGAGATATAATTACTGCCTTCGACAAAAAAAAATGAAACGGAACAGCTGGGTCATCTATCCCCAGTCACACGGCATAGCCATCCATAAGGTTTAAGTTCAACTGAAATATTCGATCAGCGGAGTGAAGAATTAATGCACACCTTTCTTTCCTATGCATAACGCACATTTCGTGCTGGCCCGCTGCCAACTATTTCGAATTTTAACTTTTCGTTCTCTTAGGGGAGGGTCAATGGCTAGAGTTGTAATCCTCGATAATATCTGAGTGATACGGGACAATCGGAATAGCTCCCTCTCTCTTCCCAGGCAAGATCAGTGACTGATTTTATCTCTTAATAATATGTGAGTAATACGTGACGTCCAGTTATCCTTTCATTTAATAATGTCAAATTTGAACGGGTGACTTCAGGCCTGAGTGAATTACTTATAGCATGTAAACAGAACTCATCTTGGGAAACAGTTAACATTCCACTGTATCCGCATATCCCTTTAGGATGAGCACAAAATATAATTAACAATTGTTCCAATACATAGTAAAATCCCACAAAAAGATGGACAGGAAGAAGAGTACGGATTTGTCATAGGTCTGTCATTTTTATGAAAGGAGCAAGGTGATCCTCAATCATTCAATCACCACAGAGTCTTTATAATTTAGTTCTGTTGATTTCATCGGTTTCACATGGATAATGCTCAAAAATATTTCTACGAAAAATGATTACTCCCATGGGAAAAAATTTGTCCCATAGGGAATTCACCGTCTCATCCACAACATATTATATAACAGCCGTTAAAAAGCTAATATCAAGCTAACATCAAATATTATGCAAATTTTTTCTATTTATATCGCATTCCAATAGACGTGATATTTCACATTTTGCAGTGGAGGGGAATAAGGAGGAAAGATGATATGGAAGGAAATAAAAATTGTTTAAATTTGAAATCCTAAGACACATTCCTATACAAGAATTAATAGATTAGCCTTCAACAAAACAAATTTATTACTATTTTCTGTAAATTAACATAGAGTCATAGATTGTGAAAGGTCAATTATAAATCACTTCTCAAAGTGATTGAGAAATAATAAATCGTGAATATTAGGACTGCTGTCAATTTATTGAGACTTGAAAAAATTGAGCGAATGATTTATGGCAATAACGATATGAAGCAACGGTTTTTTGAATTGAAAAATTGTTTCAAACACTAAATTCATAGAAAAACAAACTTCAAGATCAATTACAGCAACACACACATAAGTATAGAAACGCAGATTTATCAATCGTGAATATGCGGTTGTTCAGCGGATCGCAGTATCCTCCTCCTAGTTTCGCCAGCTTGCTGTCTTTTGGTTTCAAAATCTAGCATTTCTTGTTCAATTGCTAGTTCTTCATTAATATCTGTTGCTACTTGACGATAATCGGCTATGAGATCATATTTGCGAAGGTCAGCAAGCTGAAAAAATGATTTTACATGTCAATTTAAACTGTAATAAAACGTTTTCTGCAGAGAATACTTACTTAATAAAGTGAGACATAATGTTCGCATCAATAAATTCGTATTTGTGAGGAGAAAAGAGAAACTAGTAAACTAAGCATAATTTTAAAACTTTACTTTCATTTTCTTACAAAGTACAGAAGTATATAATGCGGCCAAAATTTAATGACTACCTTCGTTCTCCTTAATTTCTTTTTATACCATGTAGTTTGTTCACTCCATACATCTTCTATTCCTTTGTAATCAAAAAGTTCCCATCTCCTTGTCCATGGTGGTGGACGCAATTTAACCTTTAATTTTAAAAAACGGATAGAATTCATAAAAATATTAAATAATTGAGCAATGGCAAAGTAAAGTGAAATAATCCATTAAAATAGTATTGGGCTCATAAGCAATATAATCAGAAATTGATTCATATTTCAAATTCAAACCTGCAAATATCTGGAGAAATTAACTGACAAGGCAATGAATGCTTTTAAAAATATATTAAATCTAACTTTGAGGCAGCTTAGCAAAGAGGAATTAGCTTTATGTAACAGGTTTGTCTGCTTTAAATGTAATAATGAAGAAAATAGTATTTATAGTGAAATAAGGCACCTTTAATTTTTAGTGCTGACCGCATTAAAATTAGATTTAAATTATAAAATAGTTTTAGAATTTTTCCAAGAAACCTTATTGCCCTTGAAATTTCCAAGAGAATGGTCAAAACGCCGCATAATAATTGCCGTAGAAAAAGCTAGCTGATAATTATAACACGATAGAAAAAGCTAATGATCAGCCAAGTGGAACTTGTTTGGTCAACTTTCCAGCTAGCGCGAAGGATATCTGACAAAAAATTGTATTTAGAAAATGAAAATTAACCTTTAAAGGATTTATGGGAACTGGTTTTCCAACAATATGCGACGTAGGTTCCATGTGAATATTGAATGTACTATATTCGGGATAAGCATCAACCAAATAGCTCAAATCATCATCCAAGCGCTTTTCAAGTTTTATTACTTCTATTTTGGTAATTGTTGGCGTGTACATTTCGTACATAACTTCTACGCCTGTAAGTTTTTAAGAATGTTAATTGGAGAATCAGAATCAAACATCAACCTGGTTCCAAAAAATCTCTGAAGTAACAAAAGGCAAAAATAAACCTATTCCTTCAATGACGTTCCGTAGTGTAAATTGTGACTTCAGCCCTTCCAACCTGCGGCTAATGCATATGCCCAAAAATCGATTCTTCATTCCCACCAATTTTTTGTCCGAATAAGTAACAGCAACAATGGAACCTTCAAAAAAAAGTTCAGCAAACAAATGACTAGCTTCCATTAAAAATAACACTTCAAAACCTCCAAAATGTAAAAAAACTCCATAGAATAATCAACTTCATTACTTAAGTCATCAAAGATTATGAAGTAGGTTTCAGCAACTATCAATTTTGATGAATGAATATCGTGGAAAGCATAGAAAAATGATGTTCTGCAGAAAAGAAATGTAAGGATTACAAAGGAATTCATTTACCAACGTAGAACTCAGGAATATCTATTCGTAAACGACGCTCTAACATGTCTTTCCTTTCCAATTCTTCTCGTAACAAATTTCGTCTTCCATATATAGAGGTAGGTTGGAAATCCGGATACACTTCTCTACAACACCATATCCTTTCAAAACTTTTACAAAATGAATGTACAACAATATGAGAATGAAATATGCTTACCGGAAATTTTGTATGTGTCTCGAAAGCCTGATTTCCCTTTCTTCACCGGAAAAACACCGTCGATATGCACGTTGACTGACTATTCTAGCATCCAGAAGTAGTACCTTGATGTTACACCGCATTGCGAAACTTTTATATTACAACCGTCTTCAGCCGACCTAAGTTCCAGATATCTTCCACCGATTTGAAACCAGCTGATACTTTCTTAATATAGAATAATCAAAAACAGTAGTGCAGCTCCTTTAATCTCCTGAAATGACTCGAGTAACAAACAAATAGTGATTAAAGTTAAACACGCTCCAGCTTTTGTCAACTAAACTAAATATATTTCATAAACAACAATAAGGGTCTGAAACAGGTCAATCGAATTCGAATTTTGAGTTCATGCAGAATTTACTCATAAGATTATGTCACTTTTATAAAATTCAGCAATACATCAAAGACAATTCATAAAAAGTGAATCAAAATGCCGAAAGTTGCTATTTTCATGCAAAATTTAAACAACACAATAACAATATGAATCGATAATTTCATATGGTCGAAAACGGCACAAATTAAAATGTAATTTGAAAATAAACACAAGATTATGAAAACAGTTTCTATACTGAAAAACTACAAGAAACTTTGATACAATAATATCATAAGGAAGAAAAAATGGATTCTAACACCAATTTCAAACTATGGCCAAGATTACACCTCGTAGAGAACGGAATATGAACATTTCACAGCATTATACAAGCATAATTTCTAATTGCAAAATTGCATTTGAACTTCGTCTAAAAAATTCCAGCTTTGCATTTGTATTTCATATCTGATCAAATATGAGAACAGCACGCAGTTAACAAATAAGCAAATAAAAAATGTAGCATTCTGAAAGAATATGAAGTTGAGAACATCAGTTATCAACACTTTCTGTACGAATCAGACAATATTAATGAACATTCTTGAATACTTTCAGTACCTACAGCAGTAAATGTTTTAGTTAGCATTAACTAATAGTATATATCTGAACCATTCTGTTACCTCAAGGAAAATACTCATCATCTTCAGAAGGATCTTCAGCATCAGATGACTCCGTACTACCATTTTCTGCGTCTTCTGGTGCATATATAGTGCCAGTCCCTTCCAAAAACAGTTCAAGCGCTCCAGAAATTTCACTGAGATTAAAATAACACAAAGGGCACACCTGAAATAAATTAAGGAGAATTTCTGCAAGATTATCCAAGAGAAATAGAATTCTGACAGATAAATCCCTTTTCATACAAACACAGACAAGAATTATAAAAATATTTTTAACATCAAATGTCAATTATATGTCTAATTTTTAGAAAAATGAAAATGAAAAATATTTATTGTTTCGGAATGCTAATATTTTTCAGCAAAGATAAAGCATGAACCTGTTTAACACACAGCCACTTTCTTAAGCAGACACTATGGAAAAAATGCTTGCAAGGTGTTACGCGTACATCTTCCACCATATCGAACAAACAGATCGCGCATGCATCACATCGCTGTTGCAATGTTGCTTTGGACACATGAGGCAGTTGTGACAAGCTCAAGTATGCTGCATGTCGTGATTGCACGCTAACAATTCCAGCCTGCAATCGCCTCCAAACACTGAAATACAGGTAGAATACCAAGACAGCCAGGCTTGTCAATGTCCAGTGACCTGCAAAACAAGTTTCTCATGATTCATTAAATTCTTCTAAAGTTTTCTTGCAAAATTTTCACATACAATCCTTTGAACATTGTATACTACTTTAACAAGAAAGTCTATAAAAAGCCGAACTAACAGAAGAAACAGTTGCATCCTTTTATTGAGTTCATTTTACTATAGAATGGAACCCACCCATTAAAGACGTTAGAATACCGTAGCAAACAATATTCAGTGCAAGTAATACTTCAACACCACACGTAATTGTTTTGCATATGAATACGACGTAGTCAGCTCGTCCCCATGCATCCATAGACTCTCTCTCTAACACATATATGGCATATACGATGAGGGCCGATAATGTATGAACTGCCGTCAGCAAACAATTTGAAACTATTATTAGACACCTGGAAGGTGAATCAGTTTCTGTTACGACATTGACTATAAGAAAACACACAAATCCGAAGATGCTAAATAAAAATCCTAACCACAAGTCAATAGGTAGAAATCGGGTAATAGCAGCAGAAGTACAAAGTGATGTTCCAATTACAATAACAGCCAAAAAAACAGATCGCATATGTTGACTTCGGCTCGTCAATCTATTTGCAGCTATCGCAAGTAATCGCAGTTCAAGAATTTCATACAACGACTGCAGCAAGGCGGACACAACTGAAGAAAATTGATACCTAACATCTCAAACTTAGTCTAACAAAACCTTGAAGGAATCCATTATCAGCCATCATTTACTGCACATAAACCAAATCAGTCTTAGGCACATCACTACTTTTCACACCAAGCTTCAACTTCCAAACAATATCGATTTAAATTTCGTTTATTATATCTGCTTTTAACCAAAATAATGACATGAGAAGAAATAATACGTGTACGCGAGTTGCGAGGGTCGTTTCTTAGAGTCATGTTGGTAAAAAAATGTATATAAAAGGAGACAACAGCTCTAATGAATTAAGTACTTACCAATGAGAAGGACCAGCCCAAGTAGAAAAGCTTTCTGTTCAGTTTGCATTCCGAGAACACCTGTTTGTGCACAAAGCAATGCAAGTGTTAATGCTCCCGCGTAGCCACCGTTAGCCAAAATATGTCTATGATCTCGTTGTCCACCAACAATACATCCCGCAATAGTCAAAATTTGTTTACAAAAACAGCTCACAGTCAATGCCAGTGCCAACAGTGACAGTGGCGTGTTCGTGCTTTCTGCTACCGATGCTAGGAATATTGCACCAATTTCATCAAAACCTCTTCCCTTTCCAGCCAAATGTACATAAACTCTCGTAAAAAACATTATTAACCATGCCGAAATTAATATTTCTGCGAGCCGTAAACGATACCACAAAATGGCAGCACCTGAAAATCTTTCTGTCATTAAATTTAAATTTCACATGAAGATGTTATAGTAACGAAAAATTTTTCCTGAGTTTAATATCTTTGTTTAGTTAGCCAAAAAAAAACAATATTTCAGATATAACCGTGCACTTAAAATATATTACAGGAGTTGGATTTTGCTTTTTTCACGAGGAGAAACAGATAAGGATAAGTAAAGAGAAAAAAAACAGTGGTTACTGGTTTGCCAGTAACGATCAGAAAACATTGCAACTGTGCAAAGTTGGACCTTACTTTTAATTTTCTTAATTAACGAAAATCCACTAGTTGAACATAATGGTATATTTTTTATTTTTAATTTGAAAATTCGAGTTTTGAAACAGAGGATTTAAGAATAAACAATACCCACCTCCTGCAATACCTCGATGAATTATAATAACTTTAAGATATCGCACAGAATGGCGCATGGACAGCAACAGAGCTGGAGTTTTGTTTAAAACATATATGCAAATTACTATTACCGCCAAAGAACAAGCCACATTGTGAGCAATGATTAGGCGATCGATAGGCAGTGCACACATCCGAGCAATTATCGGGATCAGAAAAACTGCAAGCGTGACTCGTGCAATATCATTTTCCAAGCTTAGGAGACAACTCTGCACTACACAAAGCACTAACTGAAAAGTACTGATTTTCAAGTTAACAAGCAACTAATAATCTTTTCTGAGCGATTGAATATTAACTTATATAGTAAAAGCCGTTGGTAATGAAAAGCACCGTCCTTTTGATCACCAGAAAAACAATAAATGATCAACCTGGGCCAAAATATGAAAGCTGTGTCGTTCTAATTTAGTGAAATCATCCAACTTCAAGTCTGGATCCCCATTCTGCTCCAGTTGAACATATCGAGCTGAGAGATAATGCGACACGGAGAATAGCAATAATGAAAATATGTGAAAATAAATTTGCATAAGTTTGTAGAGCGGAAGAAGAAAAAACATAAGTGACATAAGCACAACTGAAATCAGCGGAATTTCATTGGTAAAAGAACTTTTTTAAACATATTTTGATATCAATTATAGGAACCCTTAACAAATTGATTAGCGAATTCAAGTAAAAACTGATCAATATTTAAAATCAAAATCAATTAAGAATAATAATACGAAAGTAAGAGAAGATTAATATTCAGATTAATAGCTAGAATCTTGAATTTAATGATCACCAGCATAGCTTAGTATTTGTGCCCCAGTTTGGTCAAAATTCCTCGTTTGAATAAATTCAATGATCTGATCCATTTCCAGATATGATGAAAATGATTGCTTGAACAAATCGGGATTGAAATGTATGTCCCGATTACGCCACCAAAGTTCGAATAGCAAAAGGCCAGGTAGTCGCAAAGCAACTTCCATGCAACGTAGAAATGCTGTTCGGACGCGAATATTGAATATTTTCATCGCTTCACCAACATCCATTTCATCAAAGAAATATTGCCTTAATTTCTTTATTCATTCCCATGTTTAGATTCAAACTTTTTGACAGCAAAAGTGTAACTAACAAATCGCAACCGCAAGAAAGATAGGCCTAGAACGCTGCCAAAGTACCATCACTACAGAAACCGATCCTGACATATCAGTAGGGAGACATTTGAAATAATCATAATAAGAATAACTTTACATTAATTTCATCAACGCTTAATGAACTTACAATGACAGAAAAAAACTGTCTTCCCAAAATGTTCATAATTAATTACCATCACTCCTCTAATCATTCTCACCACTTTATTTCAAACTTGGACTTCCCTTATATTATTCATTTTTGGAAATAGAAGTTTTCAGTTACTTATTGTCATTTTAAAGTATTCTAGGATATAAAACATTTCCATATTTCTGATCTTGCAATGAAAATTTAAGAAAGGGAGTCTTTTTCATGTTCAAAAAAACGAGTAATATTCACAGAATAGCATCATCTCTTAAAGAAATGTAAATCAACAAAAGTCAAATTGCATCAAAAATAGAAGGAGAAGAGACGATAGCTATAAGGCTTCTTATGATTAAACATGAAAGTTTGGAGAAAAAACTCAATTCATCACAACTTCCGCATTTTATCTCTTTTTAATCAGTTGGCCTAATTGCTTACTGCCGTAATACTCAACACTATATAAAAATGATGAGAAATTAACTGCCATGTGAAGCACGCAAGATCACACTAAGTAATATAAAAAGTCTACAGAACATAAAATGTTTAATGAATAATAGAAATAGCACTTCTTTTAAGCAAAAATTTGAAGCAATGCTGACTATGTGAAGGATTCGTTGTATCGTCAAAACTTCGAAAGTTCGTATTACGTAAATTTCTAAATATCACTTTTTCTGATCCTCTGAACTCAGAAAAGTATCTACGGCAGCCTGCAAAAACCACAGTATAAAAAATAAAAGAATATGCGAACATCATGAATTTTCATTTCGCCGGCGCTAATGCATAGTTGTGTGAGTGTTAAGTGTTAAGTCTCAATTTCTGAAGTTGTAAGATTCTAAAGCAGTACAAAGTTTCTCCCCTAACGGCAGTAATGCTCAGATTATTTATCACATCAATAATCACCACCAAATAAGTAATCCATGGAAATCAAACCAAACATTTACTATTCAATAAATAACTGTTGGCATTTTGAGGTTCAACAACAATCATTAATTGAGCTCCTTTTTCTAATAATGAATCCGAAAACGCAACAATATCATTAATAGGCGTTGGTTCGTTTAGTTTTGAATCGAAATTGAAAAATCCGGCAACACCTATTTGCCGTACAGTAAACCAGTGATGCCCTGTCCAGAATGGTATAAATCCACGCGATGCAATATTGAATATAAAACCGAAAATCTTCGAAAAATCCAAACAAGCAGTGGAACGCCTCGAATCAAACCAGTTCACCATTAAATTTCTTGTTTCCAATGCCGCAACCAGCACATTAATGTCATAATTACCAAAACCGAACATTGAACGGTGTCGGTTGAACCAGCGAGAACTATGTAAATTTTCCGCGATACAATCCAAATCAACTTTTCTAAATTCATTTCTTTGTAACAATGTATTCAGCGTATGCACCAAGCAGAGTTGCATTTGTTGTTTTTCGTGATATAATTGTACTGTTGAGACCGTACTTCCACACGATTCATCAAGATTCATCTATAAGAGGTTCTTTTTCGGTGGTGTTACATCAATTACAAATGTGTAACGTCCTCCGCAGTTACATTTCTCATTACAAGTATTGATGAATAAAAACAAGTCCGTACACCAAGAGTTAGCCTTACTCCATTGTTGGTCTCAAAATGAAGCTACATAAATCGATAACAGTTACTATCAAAATGAGATCAAGTTTAATGTTTAAGAGTGTTAAGTACTGCATATTATAAAGACTACATTAGCCTTGCTCAAAGTGTTAAAATATTGCGAACCACTATCACTTCAAACAAGAATGCATAACCAAATGTACTGTACTGCGGATTCCTAATACATCGCAGAGTATGACAGGTATCACAGTATTAACACGTTTATTTCCAGTATCAACAACAAAATGGCACTTGGTAATAAATTAGATCATTATGATAAATTATTTTACTTTCTACTCTTCCCATCTTATTTCATTTTTTCTTAAAACAAATTGTTGTTCATCCCATGCAAAAATTCTTTTTGTTCATCTAAAACATGTCGATGGGAAGTTAGCCTTTAAAATAAATGAATTATTTCCTTCATGCAGGCGAGCACTTGAGGAATGTTAACTTCTAGAGCGTTAACTGTTGAGGTAACTATGCTATGTATATTTGGCCGCTTTTCGATTTCTTAATGCTTATTTTTTCCTCCCTTTTTTGTATTATACGACAGAACTATCAAGTAAAACTGAAACAGTAAATATATATACATTTCAGAGAAAAAAAAATAGTAATAATGACTAAGAAATCACTTACTATAACGGTATACATCAATAAGGCTATAAAAGTCTTGGCATGATAGTTCTAGAACTGAAGAAAAATGAAGAAATGTTAATACTCTCATTTGAAGTATTTCTGAAGTTTAAACAAATTTCTTTTTATGTATATTCATCTTCATTTTTCTTACATGAGCAATAGATGAGCTACAACAGTGTATTTGAAATCATATGATCATAAATCTAAATTTCATCACCTTCATTAAATTTATTTCTTCTCTCCTCTGAGCTGAGCCCTTTTGCCTTGTCCAATTGATGGATACAGCATTTTTCCGCGTGCTAACTTCAGTCGATTCTTAAATAAGAAGCTTTACTTTCTCAAATCACTGGTAAGCTTTATCGAATGGTAATGAAAAAATCACAAAATCTGGCATGCAACAAAAATGGAAGTTTTCTCCATAATAAAGAAAACAAACGTTGAACACTATTTTTTGTTTATTTTTGTCGAGTTTAAATTCAACACGGCTTAACTTCAAAACATCATAATATACTATTGAAACATTTACCTGCACTTCTCTCCATACAACATGTTCATCAAAATAAAGACCATGGAACCGCAACATTTTTGTCAGATAGTGGAACATCGGTTGATTAGGATAATAATCAATCTAAATTTATAAAACTCTTTTTGTACAATTTTTACTCGACTTCATTTATAAGTTTAAGAATTTATTATATCGACATACACTTCGGTTTTTTGAGGATTCTATTCTTTAATAAGCGCATTAGTGATGGATATCCAATTTAATGTCGTGAATACAAAACAAATTTTTCAACACACAAAAACAAAGTCAGCATCGTAATTTGCTAACCCACACTCGATTATTTTTGAAAGATAAGCATTATCAAATAAGACTAAGACCTGATACAAGTGACTAAAACAACAAGGAATATGAAAGTACTAGATAAGAGCCAACACCAATTTTCACTAAAATGTAGACAAAGACATTCTGGCGGGAAATACTGGAAATTACATGAATTAAAAAAACTGACTGCTTTGAATGGTTGTTGTTCCAACGGCTCTTCCGACATAACTCTTACAACTTTCAGGTTTTTTGATTCAGTTGTTCGCTGTGGTTCACTGAAGATACGTCGCGACAAATCATTCATATGCCTTCCATACTCTGTTTCACAATTGATTCCACGAGTAGCCAAATTAATACGTGACAGCATCGTCTTCACCGCAGCCCCTATGAACTTTTTATACTGCATATGAATACTTTCTTCTTAAATTCTATGGATTCTTTACTGATTACCTCTTCACTTTTAAACAGTGCAGAAATGCGGTTTCGAATGTACACAGTATATACAATTAATCCCGTTTAATAAATGGTTAATCATAGTACCGTAAACTAATTAAAATGAAATATCAAACCGATAAAGAAGTTCATTATATTGAAAAAATCCAAACAACATATGCTGCTATAATCAATTCCGTAAAAGTTACCGGTTTTTGACAAGCGCAACGCATGGTTCGAGCGTGTCGCCAATGTTTTTGTTCTCATAGCCATTGTTTCTGAAATTATATGCAGTCTTATATCTTCGGCATATGTTTTTAAGTAGCAACATAGTTTAACAAGTTAGTGGCCAATTAATTATTTCACTTCCTAATAATCATATGATATTTTCTTTCTTTAGGAACACATGCAAACAGCATGAAATTTTAAGAATTTCAGCAGTCTAACCAATTACTGATGCTGGTGTACACCAGCAATAATGTAAACAGCAAACAACGGATCTCCGGATCCATGCAAACAGAAATAATTCTGTTCAGTGTTTTTTGAAATTTTTAATAATATTAACAACTACATATCTTCCGAAATTTCTTCATAAGGATATTTATTAATTGTGCAAAACAGCAATCCGATATAATATGAATCAAGTTTCTATATTATCCTTCCATTCTAATCTAATCATGACATTTCTAATCATATTATATCGTACACATGAGTACCCCATCCGTGTGGTCCACACTGACGGAACATTTACGCATGAGAATGAAATTTTCACTGCTGGCCAGACATAGTAATATAAGAAAGTGGAATAGAAAGAGATGACTTGTTGGTTTGTTGTTTGGGCAGGAGGATAGCTCGATGTTGAAAGGCAGCGTGAGTGCGAAAGTTGCGATTGGGAAAGACGTGGAATAGAAGGTGGGAAGAGACGGAAAGCAGTAAGTCTAGCGTTCTGTATGCAATGGAAGATGAGCCTGAAGTACTTTTATTTTTAATTTTTTTTCTGCAAAGTTATTTTTAAAATTTGCTTAAGCTCATTGTAGTTGCCATTATCGGAATTACTGCGAAATATAGAGGCATTTATTTTCGATGTTTTGATTTTTATGCTATTCTTGAAAATATACTTAGCTTGAGCATGGAATTGAAAGAGCTAATCCAACAGACTATTCTATAGTATATGATATTCCTATGAAGAAATTGGATGATTTTGTAATACATTAATATTTTCAGCGTTTACTGATAGCGAGCGAAACAAGCGATCCATACGCAACAGTGCTTATCAACCCAAAGACGGGTGTTTCTTGTTGGTCTTATAAAGGAAATGAACTGCAAGGAGCTGTAACAGGTAAGATTTTCTCTCGAAAGAGAAGTATGAGAAAATAAAACATGAAGTTTAGCATATATATGTAAGCAGTTTGCAGGATCTGTTGAAATGCTTGGCAGCAATCGCTTTATTGTAGTAACCAAAGACAAACCGTTACTACATCTCCTTTCTATGGGTAATAGTAAACGTCTTCACGTCAAGAGTGTGCTTCCAAAATCGGTGCGTCACTTAGCTGTGACGCCAGATGGTAGCGTACTGTTCGCTGCAGTCGACAATCAAATATACGTTTGGATTGTAAGTCGAATGCATATATTTTTAGTCATTTAATTCAACTGCTGCTACTCTATGTTTTACAGATTGCTACAGGCGAACTTGTTGCTATAATTAATGGTCATTATCGATCTATATCTAGTTTGCTTCTTAATTCCGATGGTTCACTTTTGGTGTCTGGAGCAGAGGATGGCAGTTTATATGTGTTTATTGTTGCTGAGTAAGTTTTAATGATAAAGGAAGGTTTTTCTATGTGATTTGAAAAGAGCAAATGATTATATTTTTCATAGACTTTTCAGAATATCATTTTGATTGTTTATATTTTCAAAGAAACAAGACTGCTTTCTTCAGGTCATTATTTCCTTTATCCCCTTAGATGCTATATGGGAGAAGTAGTGTTTTCCATGTCTCGCTGAACAAATAATCGCAAAGCAACAGAAAAATGTAAAAAATGAAATCGATCGACTTGAATGAAATAAACTGTCAGAAAATTTTGCATTTCACGCCACTGTTTCAGGTTAATGTCAGCACATCCAACGTTAGAACATGCTATCCCATTCCGTCAGTGGCGACCACATTCTTTATCCGTTAGCAATATTGCAGTAACACGTCACAGTAACGTTCGTATACTATCCTGTTCTAAGGACCATACCGCCGCATTGCATTCAGTCATAGCTAATATCTGTTTGTTAAAGGTTAGAATATAAAAAAGCCGGATTTATCTTTATATATTTTGCATTTCCTTACCGATGAACAACCGAGTAGATTACAAGTATTTTGATTCATTGAATTTTATGGTTCATCTGTTTGAAGATTTCTTTGCGTTTTTGCATTTACTGTTATTTGGTTTTGTCAAATTGTCCATTCGACAGCATATAACTATTAATTGTTTATTTTATTCTAGATTTCATGTGATATGGCTTTATCATCTTGTGCAATTGATCCTGCTGAATGTCGATTGTTTTTGGGCGCAGTCGATGGATCTTTGGTGCAATTAGATCTCTACACTTTGGTATATCCATAAAAGGAATTAATTCAGAGATTACTGAAAAGAAAGAAAAGATTCATTCAAGTCTTTCAGAACAAAACAGAAGTATCGGTTGTAATTGGGGAGGAAAGTGTCAGGACCTTGCCGCAGTTTAAAGGTCATTCAGCAGAACTGGTGTGGTTAGACGTAAATCACGACGGTTCCTTGCTGGCATCTGGTGATGTCTGCGGTATTTACGTGATTTGGGATATTTCGAGTCGGCAGTGTTTAAAAACATCATCTTTAAAAGGTATATTTCACAAAATGCTAAGTTTGTGCTGTTCGTCTCTTAAGCATATTCTTTAAGGACCTATCTGCAAGTTGAAGTTTAATACACGATGGAAAGCTGTGGAAGAAAGTGACAAAAAAAAGCAAACATTCCCTACCTCAAATCTCAAACGACAGAAAGAAAGAAAATTACCTGCGCTTGTGTTTTTGCAGGATGGGATATCCGCTAAAAAAGTTCCATCTTTTCAATTTATTTCGTTAACTGCAAAAATACTTTAAAAGTTGGCACTTTACTCATAACTTCTTGATAAGTTAGTAAAAAACCCAATGTCATGTAAATACTTTCCAGGACGAATTTTATGTTGGAGATCTGGATAAGGTCATATTTGATTACACTAAAGTGAAGGTAAGCATTTAGTGTAATATAATCATCTTTTATGTCTCTGTTTTTACATCGATATCTAACTCGGCTAGTTGCATTTTTTCCTTTTTGTTCATGAAATGTATGACTTCAATGGAAGCCTGTAACACATTTAGAAATGGCAGATCAAAACTGGGGAGTGATTGGTATAAAGAGCCCCTTGTAAATATATCCCAATAAGATATCAAGGCTGAACTGCATTAAGATTGAGAGCAATTTTCTAAGTTAAACTGTATTCAGGCCCAAGTTAATATGTCAACCGACGATGAACCGCACTGTGAATACATTGTTGAAGATGTGAAATCAATGGAAGGCGTAGAGAGTTCATATTCAAAAACAATACAATCCTTGCGAGCAAAAATAGCAGCGTTGGAAAAGGCTAATCAACAAATTTATGATTTCGCAGCATCATTGATTATTGATCGTAGCTGACTTGATCATAAAGTTTCAAAATAGCATTATTGTTCTTAACCTGTATGCAAATAACTGAAAATGGATCCATATCTCCGCGAACTGAAAATATGGACAATCCAAAAATAAATTTTTTCTTATGGCAACCGGTTCCAAATTTGCTAGCTGTCTAAATTAATTATGAAGTAAGAATTAGTCTAACTAATTCTTTAAACCTCTTTGTGAGACATTTTAAAGAATATTTTTGTGAGGTGGTGACTACTCTTCAACTTTTTTCTACATTAATTTGTTTTGCACACTTTTCCGACACCTTTTAAGATGTTCAGGAATTTTCCTTACTCATCAGGAATGTTTGGAAGGAAATTTTTTTTCAGTGCAGGCAAACTAAAAGTACATAATCAGATGTATATTTGGATTGTAGCTAACTTCGTTATACCACAAAGAAAGGACTGTGAGGCAAACTGTTAATAAAAAACAAAAACGGTGTGACGTGACAGCAAATTATGCCTCTGAGAAAGATTTCAACGAAGAATAAAACAGTCATACATTTTAGCACAATGAACCGTAAAGAGAGATCCGCAAGTGAAACCAAAAGAAAAACATTGAAAATGGAGCACAGCTCAAGATGAAAAAAATGGTTATCAGGAGTAGGAGATAAGCGAATACAAACAAATACCAACTAAAATGTGTTTGCTCATATGAAACATCACCTCAACAGTTCGAGGAAAACGATCTCAAGGAAATAAATGATAGGCATAACAACGATAAAAGGGTATTGAACTATCCGGTGCTCTTACGAATCCCGATGGAATTCTTTTCTCTCCAACTGCTGTGCGGAACAATACTCACATTTCCGCGACACTACCAATTACCATGCAGTGAATCATTTTATGATAAAATGTCACCGGTCGAGTTTGACAGTTTCACATTCAAAACTGGAGCAAAAACTATCCCTCGAAATAAAAAGGTTAAAGGACGAGTTGACCAAGTCTAAAATATAGCATTGTGTAGGAGGAGAAAATTCCAAATTATGTGAGCTTTAAAATAAAGAACCTCAACAAAGCCACGAAAAAAGAAACAAGAAAAATGAAACAAAAGTCATACATATTTCCAAGACAATTTTTCGAATTCCAATACGGATGTACAATTTTATGAAATTAGTCACAGGATCAAAATAAAAATAAAACTTGATGCAACAATGACCACACCAATTTGTACCGAGTAGGATTTCACCGTAACATAAGAACACGTCGCATTTTTTTCACCGGAACAACTATTCATTGTAAAAGATGTATCTCACTGAACTGTTGAAAAAAATCAAACTGGATCCATAAATGATGAAAAAATGATCCGGAGTAAGTGTCAAAATGGACTCCAATCGATGTTTTAAGAAACACAACAACTCAGGAATTTCTGGGAGAACTGCTGTTAGTCGATGTCGGGATAAATTTGCTGTTTGTGAAATGGAAAGCGTCTGAACTAGCACTGGACAGACGTGGTGCCGGGGGTGGACTCACTGAATTTGGTGGTATTGTAGAAGCAGAACGCGTGACTGAACTATCAAACAGAGGATGCTCATCCTGAGACGAATGTGTTGTGAATGTATATGGCCTAAAAATATTAGATATATGGTTATGAAATAAATAATCATCAAATGGCTATCATTCTCCCACATTTAAAATTACTGATAATTTGAGCAAAGTGCAAAAAAGACAAATTAAATAGCTTTTTTTTGGTAAAGATGGTGAAAGAATGGCCAAATGCAAGTTAGGCTATTTGCAGTCAGCGAATTTCATTGCTGGCATTCTTCTTAATTTGGTAGCATATATGCTGTACCTGACCCTACTTTACCTGCATTCTTCTTAATCAGAAAAAAATTAACAGCCTCTTTAATCATGTGAGATGTAATCATTTATTGAATTAGAGCAGTGGTGCGACAATTCGTTTAAACATTAAATATAAACACGACATAATAAGATTTACATGTAAACACTGCTTGCACTGTTGAAAATATCCTGTTCTGTTGCTACATGCGGTTTCAGAATGCCGCTAATATCATTGACAATGGACGGCAAAATAGTGCTACTTGCAGGATCACAGCGTGCCGCTTTTACTAAGTGCTAAAAAAATATCAATTTACAATTGAAACAGATAAAAAGTCGATTATTTGAAAAACATAATTCGCACGGCTTAAAGTGAGTAACATATATCATCAATTTCATCTTCCACAAAATGACATAAAAATTGAGCAAGTACACATGAGTTTTCTGGTAGCGAATTTCCTTGCACTGCACTATGTTAAGTAGTCACTTAATTTAAATAAAAATATACCGATCCTCGATTATCTCCAGTAGGTAGTAACTTTGACGGGTCATCCGTACCATTTCCAAACCGCCCTCGCAGATTCATTAACTCAACATCCTTTAAACGCAAATCTGCTTCTTTTGCAAGTAGCTGTTCTGCAAATATCTCACGACCCAATAGTACGACAATCGTAATTTACAGTTTTCATTTTCGAATGAGATACTGTCCTGACAATAATGATAATGAAAAGAAAAGAATTAAATTCGCCTATTGACAAGGTGATATTACAAGTTTGTTATTACACGTGATATTACAAGTGCGAGTTTGTTTTCTCAGTTATTAATAATTGCCTTAGCAAGTATAATCCACACCGAGATGACACATAAAACCTCAACACTCATGTTATGAACTGGTAAAGGAACAAGCGTTCCTTTACTAGTTCATAACATGAGTGAGTCCTGTAGTTTATGAACAAAAATTATTTAAGAATAGAAACTGACGCTGATAATCAGCCATCTGTCCTCGTGCTTCATTTAAAGCATAAAACAATTTCTGCTTTAGTCGATTCTCTGCTGATAGTGACTTCTCCAGATGGGTGTTCTTTTCACGAATAACTCGAAGTGTTGCATGCAGCTCCTTAAATAAGTTTGATCGCAAAATATTACACTTCCGAGATTTGTTAAAGCATGAAAAACTACAAAATAATTAATTCTGACAGTTTGACTTCTCTGAAGTTAGTATGTCGTGCATAACTTAAATTAATTTGCAACGCTGAAATGTTTTATTCAATAATAAATTAGATATGTGCACAGTAACTTTGACACTGCAACGGAAGATCTTTAGGGAGATATTTCCTATAATTCATAAGTTGATACAAACCTGCAAATCGTTGCTTTCTTTATATTGACGTAACTGTCGCAGCTCCTCTTCATACTCACTCGCAAGTTCTTCCTTGGCCTTCAATTCACGTCGAACAACTCGCAATTCCTTTTCCAAATCAGCTTTCTTTGTTTTGCATGCTTCACCACATTCAACAATTCTACAAAGGCAATATTTAACTTTTCACGAGAAAAAATCATAAAATTGAAAGCACTACTATTTTAGTCCCGAAAAGATTAATAGCATGATTATTGATAATAACCATAAGAATGTATAGTCGCGGACACCACAGGATGAGTACGATTTCCTGAGTAGTGCTGGCAATCAATTCTTTGGCTTTTTACAGAAAATGAATTATAAAAATTAAAAGTGCACTCATACACTAATTACAGTTAGCGATATACTTATTTGACTGAGCTGCAGCTAATGCACGTGCAGCAGCATGCTCTTCTTTAATTTTGTTACGCTTCTCTGCATTTAATTCTTTTTCTAATTCATTTTTTTTCGTCTGTATATCAATCAATTTCTTTTCCAGCAACTGCATCGCTGATTTATCTTGTTCGCGTGCTTTTATTATATTTGCAAGCCTGAAAAAAAAACCTCGTTATATTCTCTAGCTTCTTGAAAAAAAATGAAGTTTTACTTTTAAGTTCAAAGCTTAGTAAATGCTTGATGAGGAAACTAACTTGTTCTCACTTTGCTCCTGCTTCAATTTTAACTGTTGCAATTCTCCCTTCAGCTGCTTTTCTCCATTGATATATTGTTGCAGCATGTACCGTAAATCTGTTTCTTGTGATCGTGCCACCCGCAGATCATTACGCAATGTTTCTAGCAGTTCTTCGGTACTAAAATATATATATAAACATATAATCAATCCTATTCACTTAGAAAAATGAACCTGCGCTAACTTGTATTCAAAAAGCTCAGTTGATTTATTAAACTGTAAGCTTTGCTCATTCGATTTCGATAGAGCTTATAGAATTTAATAGTATGGAAATACATCCCTTCGCATTTGAATTTAAATTAATTTTCTGTATATGAAACTTCATTCCTAACTCGAAATGACTAGCCTCATTTTAATAGCTTGGATTAACTGAAATAAGACGAAAGCAGCCAAGAAAATTGATATTACTAATTCCTTGCAGTATATATAGATTTATACTAAGTGCTATGAACAAAAATCTAAAGAATTAGAAATTATTATGGAACTAACTCATATTCACTGGCTTTCCCACTGAAAGTAGCAGCACTGGCTGTAGACGGACCACCACTCTCAATAACATTAACATTGGTAATCGATATGTTTTGATAACCCGTATTGTTAGCAGAATTGTACATTTGCCTATCCTGCTGTATACTACCAGCTGCCAGATTCAATAAATTATTATTCAATGCACAATTAGCACCCAATGTAGATGATGACAACGCAGCTCCAGATGTCAATGGCGACAAGATATAGCCAGCATGGTTTTGTAAATGACGCCCTCGTGAACGTCTGCCTTTTGCTCGAGAATAGTTTTCCGAGCTCGAAATTAACACTAAAATGTAAATAGATTATTGGAAAATTTACATTCCGTTATTTCTCCACGATAAATTTTGAAAACTACATAAATTTCAAAAAATTTTGCAATCATTTAATAATAATAGAAACTGAAGTACCTTTGCTTTTTTTGGAACTAGCTGGATGGCGATGAATAGATCCTAAACGATTAGAACTTGGTGAAGCATCATCTGGTTGAGATGAAGTTTCTTCCTGTTCCATCATTTCATCCTCACTTTCCATTTCATTTGAGGAAAGTGATATACGATCATCTAATGATGATGACGGCGACTCAACA